ATTTTAAATATGTCATTGACATAATGAAATGTTTCCTGGAGACAGATGCATGAAAGGAAAAATTAAAATAAACTAAGACTGTGTGTTCTTTATGATTGCAGAGTAGTGCCCCTGTTTTTTGGGGTTTTTGCTTTTGAATATCTGGGCATTTGCCCATCCTGACTCTCCTGGCTCTTTTCTCACCTTTGCACTCAACGACTGGCCTGGACCCACGCAGCTGCTGCACATGAGCTCCATGCACTGCACCCTAGTGGGAGCCTCTGGGGCTTGTATAGGAGCATCTGTTGAGGAGCCAGGCCCCTGTTGATTACTCCTCCCATCGCAGGCTGCAGGGCCTTCTTCATAGCTGCCCTCCTTCTGCTCCTAAAGGACCCACACTCTCAAGGCAAAGACACGAGACAAATTGCTGCAGAGTAGTTCAGCCCTGCCTTTATTACACGCATCCCCCAGTCCTCTGCCTTCTGCAGGTGGAGCACTCTCTGATTGATCTGGTCCACACTCAGAGACCCAGGGGAAAGCCTTGTGAACTCACTGTAACATGTTTCAATGTTTTTAACTCCCAATATGCTCTGACCAATGTCATAACCCCATTTCTTCATGTGTACATTTATCTTTGAGTTTATATCTTATATTTTGTGCATATTTTTTAAAAAGCCGATGTTGGAGTGCTACTTGGACAATTTTATTATATTGAAAAGAAAAAATCAAGTATTTCCCCCTTTTTTCCATACTACTTTTCACATCCAAGCATATTTTGTAATTGATTTGTAAACAATTTAATTGCATTAATCATCTATCATCATATCATAAACACGTTCTGCGTTGTCCTTTTTCTTAAATTATCAGCTTTAGTGACCATGAAGCATCCTCTTAGTCTCCCATAACGGACTCACTTACTTCCTAATAACTCGATGCTGAGGGTGTCTCCATTGCTAAATATTATGGGCAATGCTGGGGGAAAGGACAGCCACACAATCATTTAGTTTCCTTTGAATCACCTGTGAAGGTGAATTCTCAAAAGAACTAATCATCGGGCCGAAAGGGAAGAGCAGTTTTCACACTTGTTTCAAATGTGGTAGTGTTGCCGATTGCAAAGTGCACAGGCTTTAACACCAGGTAGAACTAGGTTCAAATCCCAGCTCAATTACTTGTTGCCTGAGGGAAGAAGAATCATACCTCTCTGAGCCCCCATTTTCTCATCTGTAAGATGGGAGTAATGAAACTGATCTCATTGAGGGGACTGAATGAGATTGCTAATAGCGGTGCCTTGTGTAGTGCCTGGCTTATTGTAGGAACTAAATCCATTCTCCTTGCCCTCCATATTTTCTTTCTCCTGGCAATTATTTGAGATAGGCTTTTCACTTCTCTAACTACTCATCCTTCTTGAACCATGTTCCCCACAAAAGCCTCGAGCTATAGAAAAAAACATATCTTCCTCTGAAGAGCGCTGTCCAGCCAAAATATAAAGCCAACCATAGATTCAAGCCTCATGTGTAATTTTAAATTTTCTAGTATCCCTGTTTAAAAAGTAAAAATACATAGGCTAAATTATTTAAACCTATTTAATTAAATATATTTGAAAATGTATTTTATTTAACCCAATATATCCAAAATATTTTCTTTCCAATATGCAATCAGTATTTTTAAGTATTAATGAGATATTTTACATTTCTTTTTATTGTTTGTATTATCTTTGAAATCTGATGTGCATTTTACACTTACAGCACATCTCAATTCAGACTGGCCACATTTCAGGTTGAGTTACAGGCTACTGCATTGGGTAGCCCAGGTCTAGATTTTGAGACTTAAACTTTTAACAGGTGTGCAGATGCTTCAAATAGGACCATCAGCCAAGGATTTGGGGATGTTGCCTAGAGACATTTCAGATGCAAAATGCAGGTGCATTTTGATGGTTTGCAGCACTTGGAGGAAGATAACAAATGCAAGGTCTTAGTTGTAAATAAAATGGGTAGCAGCTCTATAGTGTGGCTCAAGGAACTCTGCCATCTTCCCCCTTTCCTTCTGGCGTAAGATATCGCCCCTCTCTCCCCCAGGAGGCCAAGCTACCTTGCATTTCTACCATGAAAGTTCCTTGGGGTTGATTGGGAGCCAAGGTTTCATTTCTCCACTTAATGCTTAAAAGGCATCTCCACCTTTATAGTCATGTGTTCAAACCTATATTCTGGAATAACCACGACCTTGCACATGTGCTTCTTCTGCCCTTGCCCCAGCTCAGTAAATGATAACTCCATTCTCCCTGTTGCTCTAATGTCATCTTCAACTTCTCTCTCCCGTGTCCTACACTTAACACATCATCAAATCTGATTCTCATAAAGTATCTAGAATCTCACCACTCTGACCACTTCTCATTACCTCTACTGCTATCACTTTGGAGCAAGCCACCATTACCTCTAGCCTGGATATTACAACAGCTTCTTAACTGATACTTGCTTATCTCTTTGCTTCCCATAAAAGAGCTAAAATGATTCTTTTTTTTTAATGTAAGCATACATCAGCAAAAGTAAAAAGGAAATATTTTAATGATAATTGAAATGATATAAAAATATAAACTACTTAGGAATAAATCTAGGCAAAATATGTACTACTTTTATGAAGAAACTTATACAATTTTATTTAAATGCTTTAAAGCAGAACTAAATACAGGAGGGGACAAACCGCATTCATGATTTGGAGGAGTCATTTTCACAAAGATATCACCTCTCTCCAAATTATATTTTTAATCAAATCTGAACATAGCTTTTTCATTAAACATGAAAAGCTGATTCTAAAAGTCATATGAAGGAAGAAAGTAAATAATATCAAGACAGAATGGAAGAAGAAGGAAAGAAAACAAGGAGACTCTTTCTAGATATCAAAATTTATTATAAGCCTATAGTTAATAATATTATATAATATTGGCAAAGGAATATACAAATTGACAGAATATGAAAACAGACCCACATATACATGACAACTTGATTTACAACAGAACTGCTGTAGATCAGTGAATAAAGAATAGCCTTTTAAATAAATGGAGCTAAGACTCTTGGTTATCCACGTGGAAGAAACAAAATAAAATACTATGTTCCCCCTATCTCACAACATACAGAAAAATAATTTTCAGGTGAGACTAGAGACATAAATGTAAAATTCAAAATTATTTTTACATTTTAAAAATCATATAAGAGAATAATTTTATAACTTTACAGTGAAGAATTTCTTAGACAACAAACACATAACAAGTGTGTGTCATAAATGAACACATGGATAAATTAAACTTGTTTACAATTAAGAAAATTGGTCATTAATAGAAATCACCAAAAAAAGGAGACAAGGCATAAACAAGACAAAAATATTTATAATATACATAAATGACAAAGGATTAATATCTGAAAATGTATTGAATAATGGCAAATCAATAGGATAACCTACAGATGACCCCATAGAGAAATGGGCAAAAGATTTGAACAGAAAAAGGAATGCAGAATGACCAATAAACACAAAAGGATGCCCAACCTTAGTAATTGAGGATGATGCAAATTTAAAACATAGTTGTTGTTTTTTATTTCCACTGGATTGGCAAAAATTAAAACTCTGACAACATCAAATGTTGGAGAAGATGTGTAGCAATGGAATCGTTGACACATTGCTGTTGAGTGGGGAAAATGATACAACCACACTGTATTATCAAGTGAGGCTGAAGATGTTTATACCTGTGACCTTCCAATTCCATGCCTAGAGCATATTTCCTCAGGAATTCTTGCACTCATGCCCTACGATACATGTACAAGGAGAGTCCTAGCAGTGCTTCCAAGTGCTGGAGCACCTAGCTGGTTATAACAGGCCAAACAAAAATCTAGAAATATCCCAAGTGCCCATCAGCAGTAACTTGGGGAAGTATATTGAGATATATTCCTGTATATACATCAGTAAACATTAATAAATTAGAGGCACATGCAACAATAGAAGGAATTTCAGAAACATAATTTTGAGTAAATTAAGCAAGCCTTAAAAGATATTTAATTCCTATTTACAAAGTTAAAAATCATCCAAAACTAAATAACACATATTTAGCAATTTAAATATACGAGGTAAAATTATAAAGAAAACAAGGGAACAGTAAGCCCCAAATTCAGGACCATACTTTTTTCTGACAAGAGAGGGAGAAGGATAAACACATAGAGGACTTCTCAGATACTGATGCTTTCTAAATAACACTAAGGTGGCAGCACACAGGGTCGGTGACAAGTTTATTCCTTATACTCAACACACTTTTTCTAAAATTTCTTTTCCACCTAGTCAACATTTAAAAGCTTCCCAAGTCAGGGGGAGCACAGCCCAACTCCTCACACTGAACAGGAGGCCCTCCCTGACCTGACCTGACCCCAGCCCATCCCTCTCTGGCCAGTCACCTGCACGCCCCGCACCCCTCTCTGCTATGCTGGCCTTCACCTGCCCCCACCACTACACCTTGACCTTCTCCATTTCCCTTCCAAAATTGCTTCTCAGAAACCCACAGGGCTCAAGCCCTCCCTTCCCTCAGGTCTCCCCCCAAGAAGGCACGTACCTTCCCAGTCCCCCATCCTCTCCCACTCCCCATTTCCTGCTCTCCACCCCACTTCAGCCCATGGCACGGAGCACCACTGAACCCTGGCCACTGACCCTGTTCCTCAAACAGTGCCTGGCAGGAAGTGGCTTTCAATAAATATTTGTTGAACAATTAAATGGATGACTGTGCAGAAAATCTATTAAAATTGAAATATTCCATGGAAAGGGCAATACATGAAATCTTTAGTTACCAGATTAACTCCTCATCGCTTCAGAGAGGTTGGGACAAAGGATTGGCTCAGCATTCTCTAGGGTGGGATTTCAGGGGAGGGGAGGAGAGTGAATTCTCAATGAACTAGGTGGTCCTGCTCATTAAGAAAATGTTGGCATTTCTAAGGTTTAATGTGGCAATTTAGATGAGGAAAGGGAGGCCCAAAGAAGCACCTACTTACCAGACCCCCAGGAGTGACCACAGAGCCACGACAGAGCCAGATGTATTGGTGACCAGTCTGATGTGGCCCCCACTGCTCACCACCCCTCAGAGACCTACACTGGGGCTGGGCAGGAGAGTCTCACAGTCAGCCTCATCTCTCCATCTCTCGGCACGTGGCACAAACAGGCCCAGTCCAGCCTCTCTAAATGTTCCAGGTCACCTTCCTTAGCAGAACCACGAGAAGGGGCTTGACTTGAAGTCGGAGATTGAGCGGTAGTGCTGGGGCCTGTCCTGGCTTGGTAAACCCCCACACTGGCGTCAGAATGGCCCTGACCACATGCGCCGCCCATCCTGCACACACTTCCTCCTCATCAGCTTACCTCCTCTCCCACGTTCACAAACCCAGATAAGGCACTGGTAGTCACAATGTGCTCCCATGCTTAGCTTCCCAGGAGGCGGACAGTAGGCCCTGCCCTGACATACAGGACCCCCATGCCCACCTCTGGGCTGGCCTGGTGTGGTCAAGAACAAGGTAACCTACCCAGAGGTGTGTCGGTCAGGGCCTCCAGACGTCAGATACCATGGGTACCCCCATACCCAGCCGCAGCCCCTCAGGCTTGACGGAAGAGGACATGGCCTAGCATTGTCAGCCTTCAACGGCGTTTCACTATGACTCACTCTAGCTGGGTCTTTGCTCATTTCCTGGAGAAAGCAGAAGTGGAGAGTCCACAGATGCCTGACTCTGCCCACACCCCAGGCATCAACAGAGCTTCCTGAGTTCTGGTGAGTGACTTGGGCCTGCAGAAAGCCCCCCAGGGCAGTAGTTCAGTGGTAAGTCAGTGTTGGATGGGGCTAAGGACAAAGGAAAAGTACGAACAGTGGATACAGACTTCCACTCTGTGTCATCAGACTGAGCTTCTCTTTCTCACAGGCCCACCTGTCTTCTCTGAGCCTCCAGTAAAATGAGGAGAATAATGGTGTAGGTGAATTTAATTAGAAGTGTGTCTAAAGTACATCTGTGGACATTGCATGGACTCATCAGCCACTTTTTTGTCAACGCAAAGAGAGCTTTTCACTTGAATTCCTTTCTCTTCCATCCTCAGGACTAACTTGTACCACCAATGAAGGGAGTTCTCTAGGATCAGATGGCCAACCACGGGTAACATTGAAACAGTGATGAAAAAAAAGCTTAAATAATTGGATGAAGTTCCCTGAAACTCAGTATCAGAATTCTTATTCCTTTGGGGATTTTAGGCTGAATCATTTCACATCATCTATCCGTCTCATCCGTGTAAAGCCAGCCAGCATGTCTATTCAAACACAACACCTCCCTGTGCCACAGGAGCAAGAGCAGTTGTTGGCATGATTGCCTGATCCTTAAAGCTAGCTCCTCCTCACCTGTTTCTAGCTCACAACCAACTGACCATTTATGAGTACCTATTAGTGAAATGCAACATCACCTCTTATGGGAGGCAAAAAGGCTCTGAGATTGATTCAAAGATGAAAACATCATTTGTAATGAAACCTCACCTCTCACCAATGTAAACTTGCTGGTAAATAGCACTGACAATAGAAGACCTGTCCAGCCTAAGACCTGGACCACATGTCCATGCTGACTCCATGTTCATTCCCTGGCAGGAGGCAGAGGTTCTAACATTTCTGCTCAAGTTTTCATTTCTCACTCCACCATCCATGAGTTGAAAGAAAGTGAGACTGGGAGGTGGAAAGGTGCACAGCACAGCAGGGCACTACAGGGCACTCTGAGGAATGCATGCAGCAGGTGTGTGCAGCAGCACAAGGATCACTTTGTCAGGCCAGAAGGGGCTCCAACATTTTTTAAAGTAACAAACTCAAACCTGTGGTTATACTATTTCCAAGATCCACTGCACCTTAGTGTGTGCCATTCTGGGTGGGAGAGGGAGTGAATGTTAATTTTCTTGGCAGTCAGTACAAGACTATTCCCTAGGGAGAGACCTGCCTTTGTTGACTAAAGACGATAGGTTAGTAGAGGCTAGGATCTTTGATTGAAATTCTCCCTACTACATTAAAACAATTTAACATCTTTAAGTCTGTTTCTTATTTGTGGCATGGGACTAATGTGATGCTGTAAGAAACAAATCAAGTAATATTTACAAGAGGATTTTAAAACAATAAAAAGGGCTATAAAAAATGTGAGTTATTACTATTGAGACAGTTGCCCATGCGAAGACACTGAAGCAGACAAGGCAACTATGAACTGCGCATGTAAGTGTGTATTTTTGTTGAGAGGAAATGTGATTTTTTAAAAGTGTCTAAAAATAACAATTATACTTCTGCTTCCAGTTATGAAAGGGCATCCTACTGAAAGCAACTCTAAAATAGAGCAAATATGTGAGACAACCTTTTACAGGCATTGAATAGCAAGCAGCATAAGACTATAATCCTTGAGAGAAGAAAAACACCAAGGTACATCCCACAATTGCCCTGGCTGTCTTTCTATGGATGCTTTTCTGCCAAGGTACAAGAAGATGGAGCTCCAAGGGCAGTAACTTCCCAGAACCACAAGGTGTAGTCAGATAGTTCCAGGCTTCTGATGGGGCTGAATTTTTCAGGGCAGTGTCCTGAGAAGAGTTTTGTGTGGGAATTATTCATGTGTATCTTTAGCCAAGGGTTGCCTATATTTGCATGAAGTGAGATTACAAGAGACCTAGCAGTGACCACTTGTTCCAAGGCTGAGAACTGAATAGAGATAACAGAGATTGGGCAGTGTTAGGAAAGTTGGAGTTCCACCTCATCCACTATGGAGAGACTTCATTGAGAATCTTGGGATTTCACTTTTATACCCCAGAAAGACCACACCTGAGAAATAAGAACCATACCCTAGAACAAGAGCCGTGAACTAGAAACAAGTTTCAAATTGAAATAGAATAACCCTAACAAAGAACAAAAGCAAGCCTGGCAGAACCAAAAGGATAGTCCAGTAATTTAACTGCCAACCAGAAAACAAAACTCATCATCCTTTAAAAGAAGAAAACACAATGCAGCATCCTTTTATATAACATCCACACTATCCGGCTTGCAACTAAAATTAGTAGAAATCTGAAGAAACAGAAAAATGTGACCCATAAGAAGAAAAATAACTATCAATAGAAATAGACCCCAAGATGAACCAGATGTTGGAATTATCACACAAGGACTTTAAAACACTTATTAGAAATATTTTCAAAGACTTAAAAGAAAAGATATCCATAATAATTATAAGGTGAGAAATTTCAGCAAGTAAATGGAAAATATAAGAAGATTTGAATGTAAATTCTAGAACTGAAAAGTACACCTGAAATGAAAATTTCCCTGGGTCAAAAGCACATTGTTGATAAAAGTTTAAAAAAATTAAAAAAAAATTAACAAACTTGAAGACCAATCATCCAATCAATAGAAATATTCAATCTGAAGGACAGAGAGAAAAAATTTTGAATAACAGTAAACATGTACTCATTTGCATTCGGGACAATATCAAATGGTATAATATGGGTGTATCTGGTGTCAAAGAGAGAAAGAAGAGAGAGAAGGGGGCAGAAAACTATTTGAAGAAATAATGTTTGAAATTTCTAAAGTTTGTTGAAAAACAGCAAATTGCACAAAAAGTTTAGTAAACCCCAAGGAGAACAAAATAGAAAGAAAACCACACTTAGGCACATCATAGTCAAACTCATGAAAATCAAAAATGAAAAGATTATCTTAAAAACCAAACAGAGAAAAGAAACATTATATATTAAAAACACAACCTCAGGCAGATGTTTTATCAGAAACAATGGAAGTCATAAGATAATGAAAAGTTTTCTCTAACATGCTAAAAGAAAAAAGAAAAAACTTGTTAACCCATAATGCTTTAACCAATGATATCCTTGAAAAAATGAGGATTAAATAAAGTTATTTTCAAATAATGACAGCTGAAATTACTCATCTTCAGAAGACTTGCACTACAGGGTATTCAAAAGAAAGTGTCTGTGGTTGAAGGGAAAAGACATCCGATGAAAACTTGGACCTACATAAAGGAAACAAGATCATTATCAATGGCAAATGTGTAAGTAAATATACACAAACTATGTACTTTTTACATCTTAATTTATTTTAAAATACTATGACTATATAAAGCAAAAATTGTAACATTGTATTTTGTGTAATTTGGAGTTTATACCATACATATGTGAAATATATATGACAACAATTGCACCAAAGATGAGGGAATAAATGGAAGCATGCTGCTGCAAGATTCTCACATTTTACACAGAATAGTATTTTATTAACTCTAAGTAATAATAAAATTGTGATAAACTGATGACATGTATTTTATTTATAGCTTTGTGACAAAAATATCAGGAAGGTTAAAGTTCAGTTCTAATCAACAAACCTAAACTGAGCATCTCTTCTGTGCCAGATCCCAGCTAGACCCTAGAGAAACAGAGATGAATAAGGTAAATCTTCTGTTTGGGTTATTCCTACAACAGTTGTTCAAGTGGGCAGATGGTTCTCCCTCGCGTAGTGATTTAGAAGCACAAGCTTCCTTGTCCCTTACAGTCTTGTTGTCATCTGCATCCAGTCAGCAAAAGGGGAAAGAGAGTGGACAAGGCAAACCTCCACTCATAAAAGCCTAGCTTGTAAGTGGCATACGTCACTTTGGTTCACATTCCATTGTAATTGCATGGCCATATCTAATGGCGAGGAAGGCTGGGAAGTACAATGCAGCCACGTGCCAGCCTTAATCCTATACTTAGGAGAGAATGTGTTGTGGTAGGCCGTTAGCCTCTGCCAAACTCTCTTCAGAGAGTTTATGATTTATACACAGAACAATAATAAAAAAAGTTAATATTTTCCTGACATTTAAAATAGATGTTAATTTTGTATATGATGCAAAAAATATATATATATGGAATAAAATAAAAATCATTAATAATCTAACATATAAGCAATAACCATGTGATAATATCATTTTATTATTTTTTTTTCCATGTTTACCAAAATATATTTTTGGTCTTATTTTTTTTTTTAACAAATTTAAAATCGTGCCATAAATTTTGCTTTGTACCCTGTTGGGTTTCTTTTTTCCATTGAATTCATCATAAATACTTTCCCATTTCATTATTACAATGTATTTTTTACCAACTGGATCAAGAAGAAGGAAGACTGTTTACATAGCAATAGAATGATTTTTTTAACAACCTGGAGAGAAAGCAACTTCTTTGGAGGTACTTATTTTCCCACATCCTTTCTGAGGACC